CACACACACACACACACACACACACACACACACACACACACACACACACACACACACACACACACACACGTGCAAAAAATAAAAATAAAATATAAAAGTAGGAAGAAGAGAAAAGAGGTCAATGCTTCTGATTCCTGAAACCTCAGGAACAAAACACAAAAGGAGCTGGAGACAACATTCAAAATAAAAAAACCTGCTTATCCCCGAGTTTTTCAATCACCACTTGCTGGAAACGTTTACATGCACGCATTCTACGTACTGTACTTGCATGATTGCAGAACTCGAAACGCGGAAGAATGAAAAGTATAAAGTACTGTGCAGGATATAGACTATGTATATTCATACACGATAGCTGAGTGCAATCCCATGTAATCTACAACGTTTTGTTCCTCCATTTTACCTCTTGTTCAGAATGAAACAGTCAGTATCGAGCTGGAATGCATTCAACTTTCACAAATAAATTCTTGATCTCTTCTTCGGCGCTATGCAAATGCTTGGTAAAATGCACCCTTTGTGGTTGAATTTAAATGGATATATAAAAAAAACCAGAGAGTTTAAAGTATTTCTTCTAGTTGGAGTGCAATAAAATCTATTTGTAAAAAGTTGAACGTTTTGCAGATGGTTGCAGCGGTATACAATTCATCGGAATATTTGAAGTTTTCTTTTTTAATTCGTCGACTCGAATAAAGCAAAGAACATAGCTCTCAGAGAAGAAGTATGCTGTTTTCATCTGAGGCATTGCCGTTTTGCGGAATGCCAAGGACGTCCAGGAAATTACGACGAAGAATAAAGCGCACAGTAAAGTCAGGATTTAAAACCTCATCGAATGAACCCATGCATATATACCCTATTCATTGTTGTCGATTTCACAACACAGTTTCTGATTCTGATGTATCCTCTTGAATAAAAAACAAGAAGACTTCATTTCAGGAAACTGTCACCCTAAAATTTTTTTCCGACATTGACGGAAGTTTTGTGCAAACAAAAAAATCACGATACAGTATTTAGTT